CCCTCTCCGCAGAGCCCACTTCCCCACGCTACCCCACTGCCAGCCTTCGAGGGAGCCCAGCACAAGCATCGCTTGCCTCTCGCTATCTCAGAAGCAGGGTCAGGTTTGTCTCCCTCTGAGCCCTTTTTATCCCTGGGCAGAGCTGGGTTTCACCCCATGTCTCAGCCCAGCCTTGCCCAAGCAAGTACTGGCTATGGTGGGCACCCCTGGGTGCAGGGCAGCTCCCAAATCTAGGTGCTGCTCTCTGGGGACATGGTCTTGGGGAGGGAAAGCCAGGGCCACCCTTCCAGCCTGGACAGGACCACATGTGACAGGCAACGCCAACATCTAGTGACAGCCCTGGGGTCTTTGGCTGGCTCGGCGTGCAGTGGGGTCCCCTCGGTTCGGGGTCTCTGGTCCTGGTGCCTCGGGGAGGATTTGTGTCTTTGCAGGGAGTGGGGTTTGGCTGTGGGAGGACATGATGAGGATGTGCATGTCCCTGCGCTGCCCTGGGATGGAGGAGAGGATGGGGAAGCGGGTGGAGTGGGGTCTTCTTGCTTCTCCTCCTGCCTGGCTTCTGCAAGAGCCTTGGCTGGAGTTGCGAGGGGGCTGCCCCTGGCCAGGGACCAGAGCTGTTTGGGGAAGACCAGCAGGGAAACACACCTCCTGCACCCCACGGAGCGCCCGCAGGCTCTGCCTCCCCGGTGGGCACCATCCCAGAGCCAAGCGAGCCCCCGGTGTGCTGAGGAGAGGCTGGGAAATGGCACTTTCTGTGCAACTCCAAATCTGGAAAAATCCTGCCCACGTGAAACTTTTTTTTAAGCATCCTCCAGCTTAGCCGTTAAAAATAAGCAGGGCTGAAGACTGGAGAACATGAAAGCATCTGGAAAATAACGACCAGAAGTAGTGTGCCAGTGGCACCGCCATCCCTTCCCTCTCTCAACTGACACTTTTCCATGTGTATTTTTTCCTTCTATAATTGTCCTGTCATGGACCCCATCGGGGATGTGCGGGAGCGGCAGCTCCTCGCTGCGGGGAAGGCAGCATACGCACGTGTCGTGTCTGGTACAACCACTAGACGGCAAATCCAGCCCGGATTATGGCTGCAGAAAGATCTGGTCTGCAAGAGGAGAGGTTACAGTGCTCAGAGCAGCCCAGATGCTCAGACCCCGGTCTCTGCACTTGGGATTCCTCAGACACATTTCGTGCAGTTACAGAAAGGGCTTTATTCGTCGGTATGATATCTACAGTTCATGCGTCAGTGATAGTACAGGTTTTTTTGGGTTTTTGTTTTTATAGTGTTAGCATGCAGTTTAAATGCGGAGGGTCTGGATGACCTCTTCAGCTTTGCAGGTCATCTCCAAAGCTCAGCTGCCCCTTTGGTTCTCAAACTAAACTGTCCAAGGAACCAAGTTGGGTGGTTTTGGCTTTCGGCGAATTCAAACGTGCTGCGGATGCACGTGTCACTGAGATTTTTTTTTTCTTTTTTTTTTAAAATGGGAGACCCCGGTTGCCTGGGCAGGGAGAGAGCTCGGAGCCAAGCCGGTGGGTGGGATGGAGCTGGGCATGCGGGGGGTCCCCAGGCACCCAGGGGTGACAGCACCAGGAACTGCCCCATCCCTTGGCCCTGGTCCTGCCCTGAACCGGTGGAGGAAGCCGCGAACGGGCTGTTTCTCAGGGTGTTTCTCTCTAACCACAGCAGCTGACAGCCGCTCGGCAGCAGCAGGAAAGGTTTCTCTCCTTTATCTCTGGAGCAGGAAGCTGATGGAAGGGGGGAAAAATGGAGGGGGAAGAGTGGATTTGCTCTTCCCCATCCTAGACTGAGGGATGCTGGCAGCCAGGAAATCTTTAACCCTTTACTCATGTAGCTCCCAACCTCCCGGCTGCTCCTCCCAGTGACCGCTGGCACCTGGCTCAGGGGGATTCACTTTAAATCTGCTGGTTCTGCAGGACCCACATGTGAAACCCTCCCCACTGGGGTCGGATGCCAGTGCCATGTTTCAGAGGTGGGATGAGCTCTCCCCCATCCCCGCTGCATCCCACACAAACTAGGGGAGAAGGTGAATTGAGGTGCAGCGCTTTGGGGGGTGGCTGTGGTGGGGTCAGAGGGGGAACCGTGCTGGGATTTGTCCCACCCTGCGTGGCCGGAGAGCCGGGAAGAGGGAGCATTTGCAGACAAATTGATCCTGCCCACCTGCATGGGCTGGTGTTGGAGAACCCTTATTGCACTATTGCGGAAGCCAAGTCAGACTGTCAAGCTGCATTAAAATGGGAGTGAGTGTCTCCCCAGGAACGGGGGAGCCAAGTCCTGAGGATGGGGAAGGGGCCAGGTGGGGGCCAGGCTAGATCTCGATGATGGTGGCACGCCGCAGGCACAGCGGGGCGTCGGGGGGCACCGCGTTTCGCTTGATCTCGTTCCCGTCGAGCCGCAGGACCTGGAGCCTGGAGTAGTTCATGACGTCCACCACGGTGCAGAAGCTGCTGATGGAGAACTCTGTGAGGGGGGAGAGGAGATAGAGCTGAGCACCGGCTTTGGTCCCGGCTTGCTCTAACCTTCGTGATGCGACTGATCTTTGGGGAGCGATGTGGGAAAACTCAAGGGGGGCTGCTGTGCAGATGGGTCTGTGGCTACTGACCTCTGAGAGCCGGTTTTTGTTAAGATGGGCAGGAAAA